CTCCGTCGTGTAGTCGAGGCTTACTTGACGGACAGATGCGTCATCTACCCCGGTCACCGGGGCGTGTGGAATCGGCGAGAGGTGTCGCGCGGTGTCCCACAGGGATCGGTCCTGGGACCTCTCCTGTGGAACATCGGGTACGATTGGGTGCTACGCACCGACCTCCCGAGCGGCGTCAGCATTGTCTGTTATGCTGACGACACGCTGGTGCTGGCGAACGGGAGGTCGCATCAGGCGGCGGCCGACCTGATGTCACAAGCGGTTGCGACAGTCGTTGCAAGGATCCGGCAGTTGGGACTCGAGGTGGCGCTCCACAAGTCCGAGGCCATGTGCTTCTATGGCCGTCGGAGCGCGCCACCTCCAGGTGGGTCCCAAGTAACGGCAGGAGGAGTTACCATCGGCGTCGAGTCGGCGATGAAGTACCTGGGTCTCGTCCTCGACAGCCGATGGAACTTCACGGAGCATTTTCGTCGTTTGGCCCCTAAGTTGGAACGGTCTGGGGCCGCGCTCAAGCGGCTCCTTCCCAACCTCGGGGGGCCAAACGCCTCCTGCCGGAGGTTGTATATGGGGATTGTGCGATCCATGGCCCTCTACGGTGCCCCTGTGTGGGCGCCGGACTTGAAGCGGCGGCCGGCTCGTACGCTGGTCGCGTCCCAGAGGGTCATGGCTATACGAGTAATCCGCGGGTATCGCACGATCTCCGGGGAGGCGGCGAACCTCCTTGCCGGATCACCGCCGTGGGATCTAGAAGCGAAGGCGCTCGCGCGCGTCTACAGTTTGCGCGCAGACGCGCGTAGCCGGGGCGAAGATCCTTTGCCGCGCCAAATAAGTGCGTGGCGGAATGAGCTCCGGCGAGATCTCATGGCAGAGTGGAGACAACGACTGTCGCAACCGAGGGCCGGGCACGCTACCATAGCAGCGGTAAGACCCCTCTTTGAGGAGTGGCTTGAGAGACGCCACGGCGTCCTCACCTTCCGTCTGACGCAGGTGCTTACCGGGCACGGCAGCTTCGGTAGGTTCCTGTTTCGGATTCAGCGGGAGGAAACGCCCGAGTGTCGTCATTGTGAGGACCACCTAGAGGATACGGTGGAGCATACGGTAGCGGTATGCCCTGCCTGGGCTGAGCACCGCCGTATCCTCAGGGAAGTGATCGGCGGCGGCGACCTCTCGCGCCCGGCCTTAGTCGAGGCCATGGTGCGGAGTGAGAGGAACTGGGACGCCGTCTCCTCCTTTTGTGAAGCAGTCATGCTCGCAAAGAGAGAGGCGGCCCGCGTGAGGGAGCAATCCTCCTCCTCACGCCCCAGCAGCCGCAACTGGCGACACTACGGGCGTCTCGGATCGAGGGACGATCTCCGGCCACCGTAAGTACGGGCCTGCTTTCGGCGAGTAAGGGCAGCTCGCCGCCCGACCAGAACCAGGCCCGAGCGTACGGCGCGTAGCGTTCCGCGCGCGCCTCAAAGAGCCAATAGACCACCACAGACGGGGCCCTAAAGGGCTGATGTTCAGCCGGGGTTGCGGGGTAAGCGCAATAAGGTACCGCGACCTCGGCACAGAGCAGGAGAAGGAACAGGGGGGTTTTTAGTCAGTAAGAGTCTGACACTCCCTCCTGCCCGGCCCTGGGCGGGAGAAGTCATTTGATGATTTTCCCCTCACAAAAAAAAAAAAAAAAAAAGTAGTAGATAAATGGACATCGTTCGGGCATTGCGTAACCGCAGACAGACTTTCAGCTGGGGTTGTGAATCAAACGCAGTAATTTATCACGTAATTTTTTAAAATTTTGTAAAATTTGAAACAAACACAATGGCCTTCCTGAGACCTTGCTTATATGAATTTGGTCGCTAAATTTGAGTTGGCAGGCTCAGTACAAAATGTCCTACCACCACCGACCTGTTCTTTTAACTGAAAATATCGCAGTTGTGTGCCACGGCGTTACAAATACAAACATCCAAAATTGTTAATTTCTCGACGTTCTGAAAAAATGGGGTTTTTTGTTTGCTTCAAAACCTTACAAGGTTCAACTGGTGCAGGAGTGATCATTAAAAAGCCTTTGCATGCTTAACGTGTGACACGTTGAGCACTTGCACTTTTTATGGTGCGCGCAGTTGATTTTTACCAGATATCATTTTTCATTTATGATTAACAACCTTTTTACCTTCGTAATATAATTTAAATTTGAGTAATTTTCATCTAAATTCTTTGTTTTATTTTATTTTAGAAAACAAAGTTCTTATTGTAAATCCCTTTACCTATATCCTTCTAGCATGTTACATAACCTGCAACGTACATTTGTGTCATAAATTTGGATTCGATATTGATAGGCCTAAACGAACATGATATTTATTTTTAAGTTGACAATAACCTTTAGCCACCTACGAGTATATGGTAATAATTATATGTAAAAAATGGAAATTTCACTTTTAATTTTTTGTCGTAAATATTTATTGTTTGACTATAGCAAGTCGAGGATTGTAATAATACCTTTATTTTATTCTTATGTCTTTTATAGATCTTACTTTCATAATTGCCTGCCAGTCGCCGCTTTATTTGAATATAATAGTTATATACTATAATAGAATATAATAGTAATAGAGTATATATTCGTTAGTAGAATGATACCTACACTGTTCTGTTAACCCGCTTTTGTCTTAGAAACGAAAAATTCTCCTTTTTTGTGTTTTTACTACACCTACGCTTGATTATCGAGGGGGATATACAATGTACGATGAGGAATATCACCCAAATATTTCTCGAAGGGGAGTTTCAAAATGTTTCTTATTAATATGCAGTTCCCGTTCCTTCTCCTACTCCAAGCCAGTCCATAGTAGAATATTGCCATAGCACCCGCGACTGCAACTGTGAGCCTGTAGCTATTATTAGATAGAAACACAAACTCCGTGCTTCTAGTGAAGAAAACCGAAATAAACCGCCCGGGAATTAAACCATTATCGGCATCACACATGTGACCCGTCGATCAACTAAGTACAAAATTATATAGGTATTGCTGAAACTTTAACAAATATCCCAATCCAAAAGTTTAATAAGTATAATGGCGTGGCGGCCCTATAAGGGTGCGGGTTCGAAACCTGACTACCAATGTGTCTTTTTCCGAATCATTTGTACTTTTTATGATTATTTAGACTCTGCTTACAAGTTAACGGTTAAGGAAAACATCATGAGGAAACCTGGGCTTATAATTTCTAATTATAAGTTTGAAATCGCCAATCCGCCTTAAGAACAACACTTTTTGTGATCCAGAAGTTGTTGTTGCGGATCGGCATGGATTGTGTATGTGAATTTGCATGTTTGTAAGCGTTCCTACAACACAGGAGAAAATCCTAATGTACGGGAAAACGTCTACGAACGACTAAAATTTGCCAAATCGGTTCAACCGTTCTCGAATTTTATAGAGCCCGACCAATAGCAATTTATTTGTGCTTACATATCAAATAATATATTTTCATATAAAGTAAGTTGTCAGCGACATAATTACACGGAAGATCAACATATAAAAAAAGAAAATAAAGAAAGAGCTCGCCTATAAAACTAGGCATAAATGGTGTCAAGTAGCTAGTTTAGTGTACGAGGTCATTATACCTCAAAAGTATTATAAAACCACTGCAAAATCCGCTTCAAGGTCACAGAATGGCGCGAAAACCGCATTCGCTTGACCCCTGATGAATATCGCCATCCATCAAAATGAAAGACCAAGTCATTCACAACTCAACATGTTTAATTTGCACAGTTCTTCAAATCATTCTTTCATCATAAAACTATTGAACCGTATGTAATTTACTTGTGTAAGTATTATTGCGATATGTACTATCCTATACAGAATACAATCAAACTGTGCTTTTCTGTGTCTAAATATAAATAAATATTAGGTACATAACTGTACCTAGTAGTAGTAAGTTAAATCGATGTTATAATGAATTTTGTAATCCAATAACTGTGATTAGAGCCTATCTATTCCTCTTCAATGTGAAAATGAATTTGGTTCTGCAGTGAGTACTTCTCTACTAATCATAGTTTTTGGATTACAAAATTCATTATAACATCGATTTAACTTAAGCTACAAGAGCTTACTTCCTGCTACGGAATCCTTCGTGGGCGAGTCTGATTCGTATTCCTAATAGTTATTCTATTAATATTCTAGATGAGATGATTTGTAAGCATGTATGAATGGAAGTTCATTACTCTTCACGCCGAAACTACTTTTTAAATATTTATGTGTTTGTGGAAGGAAGTCTCGAAGTTCTTTTTGAATCGGTCAGAATCATTATCCGTTCGTCCCATCCCCTCCAAACTCCAATTTGACCAAAATAACATAAATATTTTTCACAATCATTGTTTATTATGGACCCCAAATTCTATAAACAGTACTTAAGCCTGTACGTTTTGTGTTAAATAACAAGAAAATGTAAGAAAAAATTATATACCGGATAATTTTACCTACTTTTAACATAATGTACCTGTAAAAATGAAATCCAACGTATCAAGAATGGTCAAATTGCAAAACAAATTCTCAATTTCTGTACAGTATTTTTTGTCTAAAAGGCATAAAATATCGATCTCTGATCTCAATGTGTTACTTAATTCATCAATGCCTGCACACAAATTTTCAAAAAAGAAACAGTTTCTCATCAGTATATCAGTTTATGTAAGCTGCACAAAATTATATTAAATTAATTAATATTGGTACGTCTATCTTTCATATTAAGCGACACGTGCCTGCTTCGTGCGGACTAACTCTTTTATATTCCCAATAACCCGATTTTATTCTATACTTTTCTTAAATTTTTATTCCTAAAAACCTGTTGCTAGCAAAATAATCAACAAATTTGATGATTCTAATTTATATTATAGTAACTATTCCATTTATTTATTGTCTCTCTAATGAGTTAATCACAGCTGTCAATCTACCAGATATAATTATATATTTAATTAACATCGGTAAAACTTAAGAGTAAAAGACAATGTTTTAAATTTCGAAACTTATATTTATTAAATCTAATCAATTATGTTACAGAGTCCTAAGGCATTCGTTTTAAATTATCAGTCGATCGTTTATAGGTGAGTTGGTATTTTATCTCCTGGCGGGAACTTTGGGGATAGACTTTCCATCGGCGTGGTAACCAGACTCATCAGCAAAGTAGTTGATGGTGTCAAGCTCGCCGTCTTTGTTGCGGAAGGTGTAGCTTCCACTTACTACGACGACCTTTTGCAATTTGTTGTCTTCATCCAAAGCTTCCCTCACAACACCGGTCTCTTCACGCTTGGTACCATCATCAGTTTCGAATCTGTAAGATAAATAATTTAATTTTTGGGATTAAATAATTTCGATTTTATTTGGCAACTGACGGAGTCACTAATTACTTAAAATAAACTATACTTACTTGAAAATGTAGCCTTCTGGTTTTTGGTCAAAGAAGTAGGAAAGGATTTTTGGGGGCTCCTTCTCGACGGGAGCAGCTGCGGCAACAGCCAGGAGGGCAACGGCTACAAAGATGATCTGTAACAGTAAAAACGTTGAAAACTAATTACAATGTATAAAGAAAATTAAATGGTTATGTTTGGTTGTGCGAGACGTATCAGGCACAGTTTTAAGTTGACTACGCGCAGGTAGAACAATTCATTATGTTTTGTATTCTATGTATTATCTCCCATCAGTTTTTAAACAGTCAATTAAAAATTCTTCAGATCAGCTATTTTATCATGGTAAGTACAATACATATAAAAATGTAACTCACCGATTTCATTTTTGGATTTGATTCGTTGACTGCTTGTCGAGCAACTGATGGCTTTCTCATCTCAATGTGACCTTTTATACATTTCTATTCCAACATAGAACATGCATTTATTAAAATTCCATCAAAATACATAAGAGATTAGCACACATGTTTAACTAAAGCACATATAGTATCATAAAACAGGTGCGTGTTACAAAAAAAAACTAGAAATATCACTATTATCAAAATTGAAATAGATTTTACATTACAAAAACTTGATATAGAAACTAATTTTAATGTATAAACTTTTTCAAGCAAATATTAATATGATAAACAGTCGAATTTAGATGTTATTTTTATTCGCCACTCCATCTATACTTATACCTATAATATATCTGTAGACGGGTCAATTCTGTACATGAAATATATTTTCAAAATAACTACCAGGGTGTGATTAGTGATCGATACTTATGCAAAAATGCAATCGGTAAAATTGCTGCCGCGCTCGACGCGACGCGGTATGACATATAATAAAACATAGGTTTTATGAAATATTTATAATACTTACCTATTAGTTACATCCGTACAATTCTATCTATGGACGTGGGATAGCGGAGACGTAGTAAGCAATAGGGTCTTTACCCATTGAAGATGTAATCATACAAATGAGACGATTTATAACAAATTTTATGTATACTTCGATTTTGTTCTATCGCTAGGTATTGGCTGCTTTTTATCAACAAAGCCGCGGGCGAAGCAGCAGGCGGAATCTAGTACAACATATTTTTTAATAAATCTATGTATTATTTACAGTAATGTACTAAAGAAGTAGTTAAACAAATGATAATGACGAATGATGTCAACATATATATAACATAAGACCGTCCCTTATTACATTTAGACAATAATTTTAAATCTGTTGAACTGATTTTAGAGAAAGATGAAAAGAATCTTCGTAAAATAGGATACAATTTATGTTTAACCACTTTAATATAACATGTAAATGAAAAGTTACTTAATAAAAGTATAATTACGATCTAAACTAAATCTTAATTAAACTTTTACAATAAACTGACCGTTAAATGTGCGGAAAGTTCATACAAAGCGAGGCCGTGATATACTGGATATTTATGGGTTGATCGGTAGCGGTGTGTTAGTGCAATTCACAATGCCACAAGGCACGAGGAACAGAAGATGTTACATTATTATTTTTACAAAATTAAGCTGTAGATATAAATTATATTCATTTTATGAAGCGGTTGTATAGTAATTTTATTAAAAATCTAGTCAAAAAAAGTCAAAGTCAAAAATCATTTATTCCAATTAGACGCTTACAGGCACTTTGGAACGTCAAACAAAATGTTGAAGATATATGTCTGTCGGTCAGTCCTCTTAGTGAAGCTATTTGCTCGTTCCAAAGTGTAGATTCCGATGGAGAAGAACGAGCAAGAAACTCCATGGTTACTCTTTTTAAATCAGTTTCACATACAGATTCCTTTTACAAACAGTTGGTTCAATTATGTGAGAACAGTGTAACACTAATATTTATTCAAATATAAAAATAAAGTAACCTTAAGGACAAAAGACAGTCTGGAGCTGACCATTCCCAACTGACGACGCCCGTTCACGAACATGACACGTACACCAGCATCGCCCAACTCAACCATATTATAGGGAATTAAGCGATCCAGCGCCCATGCCACCGCCAGTGTGACCTTTCAGTGAGCATGACAACTCCAAGCTGTTATAAGGACCGACATTCTGCTAGTCTAACCAATTATTATAATAGGTTACAGGGCACTCACATTTACAAATGGGGGTTGCATGGAACGTTCCGCAATGCTCAAGATAAAAAGCATTCGTTATCATAGGTTTCGTAAATCTGCTCTTAGCCCTTCCCTCTTTACCCCCCCCCCCCTCACCCCCTATAACTTCTAAACGGCTCAACCGATTTTCGTCAAACATGTCTAAGAACAAACGCACGTTCAGTCACCTTTAATACAAAAAAATACAAAAAAACTAAATTGAAATCGCTTCACCCGTTCAGGCTCCAGGATGCCACAGACAGAAAGACACGTCAAACTTATAACACCCCTCTTTTTGCGTGGGGGGTTAAAAAAAGAAATGACACTTTTCGCAGTATTCAAGGTGAAAAGTTTAAAATCAGTATACACACTCTTTGCAACTAACGACGGTCCCGCCACAGCCGCCCCGGCTTGGCACGGATGCAATGCTGCTTCTAAATGTCTCCTCTATTTAATACTATTAAATCACTATATCTTTTAAAAAACCACATCAAAATCCGTTGCGTACTTTTAAAGATTTAAGCATACATAGGGATATAAGGACAGATACAACGACTTTTATACATTATTAAAATAAATACTTTTATACGATTGGGTAGTTTCCTATGTCAAAAATAAATTAATTCGACGTTTTAATACAATAAAATATTTCAAGATAACTTCACTTTCATTCATCGATCGATCGATACACTAAATTTAAGATATTTTTTAAGTTAATTTTTAAGAAATACTCGTAGGTAAGCTATTAAAAAAAATATCGCTCAATAAAACTATGACGTCATAACTCAGTGTTTCATACATAGAAAAGTATCGTTTTTGACATTAAAAGCCCAAGTTTAAATGTAACTTTATTATCCTTCGTAAAGTCAAGCTCTTGTTAAAGGCAAAGTCAAGAGCTGAGTAATCACGAAATCATATGTTTAATCAATAAAAAAAGCTTTCTGTATGTTTAACTCAGAATGGTAAACAAATATACAAAACCATTAAAATGATCTTAATGTTTAATCAATAAAAAAAACTTTCTGTAATTTTAACTCGAAATGGTAAACAAATATACAAACCCTTAAAATGATCTGAATCTTAAATAAAAACTTGTTGCTTTTATACGAATTATTTAATATACAAAAGAATAATTGTAATGTAATCTTCATTCACATTAATCATAATTAATGGTGTTCATTACGTATTTCTAAAAAGTAGAAATGTTTTTTATTATGTACGTATGACATACTTTTTTGATTTTTAAAATCTTTGTACGGAGCATTTGATACTAGTAATACATAATTAGTCATAAGCAGTTGAGGATTCGATTAAATTGGTTTGAATTTGCGTGTTCTAGATGTACTATATTTTTTGTGCAACCTGATTACTTTGTGTATCTAACACATCTGGTCTTCGGATTTCGGATTCAGCAAATCCGAAAACCGTTTCGCAATTGGACTTTTCGTCAACAGAATGATTCATTGATGTATTTCCGTTTCACCCGCAAGATATTTCACCTATGGACATTTTTGGTCGACAGAACCTTACATGTAGGTATGTCACTCACACCGACATGACGATAAACCTATAGCTCTTAGCTATAAGTGTAGGAGTACCAAGCTTCGGCACGAATGGGTCGGCTCGACCGGTTACCGGAGGCCTAATCCCTCCCCTTCCCCCATCCCTTCCCAATTCCTAAGTACCCCAAACCCTTATCCCCAAAAGATCGTCAACGCACTCGTAACTCCTTTGGTGTTGCGGGTGTCCGTGGGCTGCGCTGATTGCTTACGTATGCTCGTTTACCGACCTATCTCAAGCTCGTTCACTATCTTTTAAACCTCTTAAAGACCTTTTCATCTACGAATGAGAATGAACCGTTAATTTTACATGGCCTAGAGGGCCTAGGCCTGGGCCGCGGACAGGAGAAAGAACGGGAGAGTAGTTAGTCTGTGCGAGAGACTTCTTACGATTCTTCTCGCCTTATCTTAGGCGAAAGAAGTTTGATAATTTTCCGTTGAAAAAAGTCACTTAAACTGGTTTTCATGTCCATCTAATTTTTACTAGATAAATGCCTCTGGATTATTTCTTTATACCCTGTGTCACTGTGTTTAGGATTTTAGTATAGACGCATACTATGAGCCTAAACACAGTGCAGCTCATGAGGAAGAACCCCTCTGTGGTTCGAAACTAATAGAGCTTATCTCATTTACAAACGTGAGTAACCCAATATTTGTAGTTAATTTAATATGTCTCACGATAGTTATTATAAAAACACAGTATAAACGCAGTAAACTATAGACATAGAGAGATTATACAGGGTCCTGGGCTCCTGTGAAGCATCTGGTACGGTTGGTTGTTACGCAGCGACCTTTAAGGATAGGTGATTTGAAGGGGGTGGGCCCCCGGTAACGTCACCCAAACGGGAAATTACAACGTAAGTGTGTTCCACGCTGGGTTCTCTGTAAGGCCGTGTGGTATCTATCACTGCGGTCGGGCCGGCCTATTGGTATCGAAGCATGGCTCTCCCACACTTAATTTGTAAAATTATAGTAGGAAAACAAAGACAATCGATGTTACGGTGATTTATACAGGGAGTCTTAAAAAAAATAGTTATATCGCTGAGGGCGTAGATGCATCCCTAATGTGTTATTATCCCTGAACGGCGTACGTTATGAAACAAACGCCACCCGCCCAAGCGCTGTAAGGGTGAGAGACTCTTCGACTTGTTTATGCGACGAGTTTGTGATGAATTTCACCGTTTTACATGAAATCGTAAAAGAAAAGAGGGCGTATTGCATGATTACTTCAAAACTATATCTGAGTACATCATGGAAATACGGCTTTTTTATTGATTATTTTTATTTGTGGTAGGGTGTAATCGGCATTATTTAAAGGAAATCTTTTTGATCAGGCATTAGAGAGCGTTATACGAGATACAATTTTACGTCAATTTTTTGACTTTTTTAACTGAAAAAATATTGAACTTAATTGACGCCTTTTTTTGTGGGGTAATTGTCAAATGACTTCTCCCGCCCAGGGTCGGGCAGGAGTGCTGTGAGTGTCAGACTCTTACTGAATAAAAACCCCCCTGTTCCTCCTCCTGCTCTGGACCGAGGTGCCTTACCCCGCAACCCCGGCTGAGCATCAGCCCTATAGGGCCCCGTCTGTGGTGGTCTATTGGCTCTCTGAGGCGCGCGCAGAACGCTACTACGCTACGGTCTGGTTATTAATAATTGAGCGGATTTCTCATAACTTAAACTATTCAAAACGGCAGAAAAAAAATTGACGTATCAGCACTGAAGTCTTTGTTGATCTGGGTGTGTGATTTAACAGTTTCTTACATTGGTGCGTACCATCAGGTAAGGTTTACACATTTAA